ATAAAGATTCCAGAGCCCCAAGAGAGGGGGCCAGCTTTTGTTCCCCTGCTACTGCTGCTCCTGTTGCTGATTGCTGGTTGCAGTTTGTTGCTATTTGTTGGATTGATGGTTGCTGGTTGGAATATCCTGATGTCAAAGATCAAACTTGCCCCAAGGAACTCAATGCCCCCAATCAGCAGAAAGTAATCTAATGATATCAATCCCCCCTTTCCCCTCTAACCTTTCTCTCTTAAATAGTGTTGAGGGGTTGGAAAGGAGAGGGGTGATGTAGGGAGGCAGGAAAAAGAACCCAATAAATAGCCAAAAGTCTAGCTACAGGCTAGGGCCTAGAGAAAGACCAGTGATAAGCATAAGGATCTATTAGCGGAGGATACAGAGTACATGGGTCTCTTTGGCAGGGATGTGTCTTGTTCACTGCAGGATTAGGGCCTAAACAATGCTCAGGATATGGTGGGAATTCAGGTGGAGGCTGGCTCCTAATAGAGTCTGCCCTTGTGGTTGACAATCCTGCTTTGTCCAGTGCTTATTTTAAGCTGTGATTTCTACAGTGTTCCCCTTCTCTGTTGAGGCAGTCTCTCACCTGACCCGGGTTCACCGTTCAGGAAGTCCAGGCAGCTGGCTCCAGGATTCCTCATCCCTGGGTGGGGAGCCAGAAGAGCAGCACATGCTGCCATGTATGTGGCTACCAGGGCACCACACTCCGGTTTACTAGCATGGGAGGTATTTGACTCAACCAACCTCCCCAGGCCTCAAATCTAACCCTCTTAGTTAGGGTTACTATGGCTTTGACGAAGCACCACGACCAAAGCAACTTGGGAAGGAAAGGGTTTATTTCATCTTATACTTCCTGGTAACAGTCCCATTACCAAGGGAAATTACCAAGGGCAAGAACGAAAACAAGGGGAGAAACCTGGAGGCAGGAGCTGATGCAGAAGCCATGAGGGTGCTGCTTGCTGGCTGGTTTACAGCCTCAGGTTTAATCCATTATCAGCACGCTGGGAAGCACAGTGGGACACAGGCAAACTACCGGAAAAGGAGGTGTGAGTTCCGAATCCAGTGCACAGGCAACAGGGGGAGAGACACTGCGAACAGGCTTGGGCTTTTAAAACCCCAAAGCCCACCTACAGTGACACACTTCCTCCCACAAGGCTGTACCTCCTAATTCCTCTCAAGTACTGTCACTCCCTGAAGGCCAAGTATCCAAATACATGATCCTACCGAGGCCATTCTTACTCCCCCACAGTAACTTGAAACATTTCATACACTTCTGTATGAAATACAGAACATTTCATACACTTCTGTTCCCAGTGTGGTGCCTTAGCACCCGCATCTGGCTCCTCACAGCTGACTGTAACTGCAGCTCTGGGGGATTTCTCTCCTCTTCTGGACTCTACAGGCACCTGAACACCTGTACAGATGTACAAATTCACACAAACACACACAGAATAACTTTACTGAAATAAAATCGAATAAAATAAAAATGCTCTAACTGTTCACCAGGAAGCTCTATGACTTGATCAACAGAAAAAAAAAAAAAAAAGCCACAGCTCTTAAACTGTATGTAGCTTTTTCTGTTTCCCATAAAAAGTGTCAAGACTCTGAAAAGCTAATTCCAGATCCGGACAGAAATTTTACCAAATGAGCCTGGGGACATTATTTCATATCAGATAACAAGGAAGCTATCACACACTTCTGGAACAGTGTCAGCAAGGCTAACTACCCAACCTGAAGAGCTCTCTGCTGGTCAGCAATGAACAATTTGAACTTCACAATCAAGTGAAGCATCAAATACGCTTCAACATGCTCACTCAATAAGATTTCTTATTTCTTTAGAGGCATGGGGAGCATGCATGCTCAGGCATGTGGACGTTGGAAGTAGGTTCTCTCCTTCTACTGCAGGATTTCTAGGGTTGAACTTCCAATAACACAGAGGTAGAGGCCGGAGGATCAGAAGCCAAGGTCACGCTCACCATGGCCTTAGTGGTCATTGCTTTGTTTAATCTGTGTGAATGTGTGCTGTCCCTATATCCGGAGTCCACCCAGAAATGACTGCATCCTACATCCCAAGTCCCAGAGTCTGGTCAGCCTTTGAGGGGGTACCATGCTCTTTGGATGTGTGTTTAGCGCGTGGCATCGACCTTCTCTACTCCTTTGTAAGAGAAAACTACCCAAACAGTTTGTTTCTGTTTATTTTCTATTTCACACTTCTATGCCTCGTGGGTTTTTTTCCTCCTCCCTCTCTCAAAATCCATTCTTAAAAAAACCCAAAAAACCCTAAACCATTTCTTGCTTGTTGGATGGCTCAGCCGGTAAAGTGCTAGCTGCACAAACCTAGTGACCTCCCTTCTATCCCCAGAACCCACAGAGATGGAAGAAGAAAAGTCGCTCCTCAGTGCTCGCCTCCGACCTCCACATGCATGTACGGCACGGGCACACTGTAATGGTAAACTCTAAGTAAGTAGAGAACGAAATAATTTGTGCTGTGTGTGGAGGTGCACGCCTCTCACCCCAGCACTCAGGAGGCCGAGGCAGGCAGATCTCGGCGAGTCTAAGGCCAGCCTGGTCCACAGTGTGAGTTCTACACAGAGAAATCCTGTCTCAAAAAAAAAAAAAAAAAAAAAGCACCTGTCATCAAGCCTGACAATCTGGGTTTGCTCCTAGGGACCCACGTGGTGAAAAGTTGTCCTGACTTCCATGTGACTGCAGCACAGATGTGTGCACACGTGATGAGGTTTCTCTTTAAAATGTAGACATCTGCGTGGGAGGAGCCTGAACTCAAGGAAAAAAGAATGGCCAGCGAGGAGCACATTTGTAGACATGGGTGAGGTGGGTGTCTTATGCATACCCTTCGTTCTCATGACTTTTTTTCAAGTACTGGGGATGGAAAGCAGGGTCTCCAACGTGCTGGTCAAGTGCTCTGACACTGAGCTGTATTCCTAGCCTCTCCTCTGAAACAGTTTCACTGCGCAGCCCAGATTGACCCAGAACTCTATGTAAACAAAGCTCCGTTTGTTTTTCTCTTTTGAGACAGGGTCTGTGTAATCCTGGCTGTCCAGCACCACTATGAATTTACCACACTGGCCTCAAACTCAGAAATCCTCTTGCCTCTGCCTCCAGAGTGCCGGGATTAAATCTATGTTTTTAATTATGTATGCACGTGTCTGTGTGGGTCCCTGCACAGGTGAGTGCAGTTGCCCTCAAGAGTCCAGGACAGAGTGTGGGGTCTCCTGAGGCTGGGGTTACAGTTGTGAGCTGCTCGGTGAGGGAGAGGAGTCAGTGGATCTTAACGGGTGGGCTATTTCTCCAGCCTGTAGCCATTCGTTTTCAGAGAGGCTCTCAAGCTATGTAGTGGCAGATGACCTTGAACTTCTGACCCCATGAGTGCTGGGACCGCTAGCGCATCATGGGGTCAGGGTCAAACCCAGTTTCCTGCATACGAAGCCAGCCCGCTAATGAGCTGCCATTTCTAGCCCTCTTCGGTAAGGACACAGGTTTTCATATTAAACTGTATGTTCGTTTTAAAAAGTGGTTCGTGCGAGGATCAATGACGGCTGTGTGCCCTTAATCAGAGATCATAATTCATTCTGTCGCCTTGAAGCCGCCCCCACACAGCATTAAACCGCTTTTTCTAATCTTCGCTGAGTGAGAAACTGAAATGAGTGGGAGGGGCGTTAACTATTTTCACTTTTGTCTTCCTGTTTTTTTCCGACCCTGGGAAAGCAAGTCAGAATTTCCAATTTTTTCCAATTCCCACATGATTTCCTAATTTAGAAAATAAGTCTTTCTCCATGCGCTAAAGCCTCCTCGTTCTAGCACTGGGAAGACGGCCTGAGGGGGAGAGTCCTCCAGCCCGGGACCCCACATTCAACCAGCACACCTGCCCTTGGCTTAGGCGGCAATTTTCGCACCCTACAAATGCTTTCCATCACTGGAGCCTGGGCTCAAGTGAGAGGCCTTCAGGAGGTGTGCCAGTGGTGTGACCCTGGCTGGTTCCGGAGATCCTTAAGGGTCTGGACCTCAGCAGACAGCACCTATCTGCAGAGTCGAAGCCCTGAGTGTCTTCCAGCATTCACTGCCCTCCGCGACTCCTTAAACTCCTGAGAGGCACCGGCGTCCAGCCTTCCGTCTGCCCACACTCCCCTCCACGGCCTCAATCACGCCGCGGGGAAGCAGGCTCCCGCGCTCGACCGGATCAAGGTTGGGGAGCATTCGGCCTGTGAGGTGCCGCGGTCCCCAGAAGGCCCGGCCCGGTTAGGAAACCGTGTGGAACTGAGCCGGCCGCCCGTGCGGGCGCAGCAGGCCTGGGCCTCTCCCCGCGCAGGGCGAGCGGCTCCAGCCTGCCAGCAGCCCTGGCTCGGCTCCAGACCAGGCCAGGGTGACATCACCAAACTCCTGCGCTCGGAGCGGGGCGGGGAACGGGACCCGAAATCCCCTAAAAACAGAGTGAGTAATCGCGGGCCCGCCCTCCAGGCGGGGCCGGGACCCCGAGCGAGCCAGCGGCGCCGCGCAGCCCGGGAGCGGCCTGCAGCCGGGCGGGCCTCGGCACCGACAGCCTCGGCGGCCTCCCGCCGCGCTCCGGCGTCCCGGCTCC